ACCTGTTCGATCTTGTAACACTCAATGTTCCAATGTAATCGTTCCCTGTACCTGCCATCTTACATTCTTCCGATTTACACTTCCTCAGGTGGCAAAATTTTTTTTCAATTTTCTTCTCGGGCATTAAGGATATAGTGTAGCAATAAGTACCTAATAAAAAGGCAATTAAGGGCGAAATATAAAAATGATGAGTCATATATTCATATTTATTTATTACGTTTACCTTCATTCATTCCAGAAGGATCTCGACAATAATTCAAGGCCTCTAAAGTCGATTCATTAGTGAATAACTCCTTCAAATTTTCTCCGATAAATTTAGAGCCGGACCACGGCAAGCAGGGAAGGCCTTCACTAGTGATATCTTGAGTTCCTTTATAGCTTGGCTCCTCCTTATTAAGAGCACATTCCGGCAGAAACGCAGGGGGTGGATTTGAATGTGGTGGTGGCGTACAAAAAAAGCTCCAGTGCGCTATTGTATTTTCTGAATTCAAACTAAACCATCTCACATTTCGGAAAACCTCATTAGTAAGCGACACTATCGTCTGCATACCGGCAGGTTTCTTCATGTAAATGTATAACGTGTTTGCGAAAAATGATATAGAAAATTCCTTCCACTCCCAATAGTTCAAAATATTCGGTAGCTGTAATTCTTTCATTACTACTTCCGGTCCCTTTAGGTGTTCTTTTACAGTTACTCGAGTGTAATTGTTATTTCCTAAAAATACAATTTTGACATATGGGTAGTCCACTGTGGGACTGGGAACGAATAAAATTCCTGCTGAACGATAGGCTCTTACGTGAACATGTAAGTCATAATTCATCGATTTTTCACGTAACGGCCAAAAGTGCTGAAATTCCACTCCGGTGGTGGTGTGCATGTCACACTCAAAATCATCTTTACAAAACGGAAAATACCACAATGTATTAGTCCCTTGCGCTGAATAGTATAAAAACATATTCTTTTTCAAGCCGAGTAAATTATTCTTTGTTTTATATTCCGCTAGAAATATAGGTTTAATTTGACCCTCACGGAAAAAGGTTATGAATCCAGCGTGCCAAGTTATAGAAAACATCGTGTACTCGGTAGACTTCAAAATGCCCTGCGTTGGTTCATATTCAGGTTTATCTTTGTTTCCATATCTAAGAGCTGTAAAATTATTCCCTATCACGATTTCTAAACCAACCCCTAGATCGTCTATGTCCTTTCCGGTCAAAGGTAGAGCCATAACCGATAATACTAATCTAGCACTGGCTTCCAAATAAGAATCTGAATCCCATAACTTAACTCCGAATGTGACATTAGATAAAGTACCATTAAAATCTGTGTAGTGCATATATGTATCGGAATTTTTTGTAAAAACTAAACATATCGGATCGTCACAGAAAGGTATGTCGCAGTATTCCCTTTCTATTTCGTTAGTGTCTTCATTTTCAACAAAACACCATGGACCACCGATGTCGCCATTAGGATTACGACAAAATTTTTTCGCATCACTGAGGCTCTTCCCTGGAAAGTGCTGCTTGTCAAATTTGGAAAATTTCAGGTAACCACCATTATGTTTAACTCTACTTCGGTCCTTAGTCCATTTCAAACAATTCCTATCTTAAAATAAAATCAGATAAAATCAAGATAAACAAAATATTGCTTCAGTTTACTTTTAATGAAATATAGCCAATAAAAGTTTAAAAAACATATATTGAGCTTTGAAAAGGGTTTGCATTTGCTGTTTTGGTTTGGGTGAAACGTATATCCACGGAGATTTTTGGCTTTTTTGCTTTCAAATATCACTAGGAATGAACATTTTTCTATGCGCGTGGGCTTAACTTTTGGCGGCACAATATGTTTAAAAAATTCCAAAAATGTCATATTTTTCTTCCTATTTAATTATACATATATCTTATCAAGAGCTGATTTTAGGCGAAAATGGAAGAGGAAAAAAATGTTTGTAATTATATTTTACAAAATATGACTAGTTATAAATCGAACGAATCATGATTATTATTGTAAAAATCAAAAAATTGCCAAAAATTTTGTTAAAAAACATTATTTTTTAGGAAATTTTTTTGGGGTATCTACGTTGGGTATAGGACCTTCATACTTGGCTCAAGAAAAGTTCACGTTATGTAGAATCATCACACCAAATTTTATCAAAATCGGTTCGATAGATTTTGCATAATTTTGCAATCCAGATTTTGAAAAAAAAACCAAGGAACTTAGATAAAGGCGTACGGGTGGTGGTGGGGGGTGGGGGGGGGATAGCAGAGAGCGCGGTCGCTTCGACCTGCTCGAAATTCAATCGGCGAGTTCAAAACCGCGACGCACTTCAAAAATTTTTAATACCTCAGCTTCTAGAGTTCCGATTTTGATGATTTTTTTTTAAATCGATGTCTTGCGATTTAAAAAAAATCAATTAGCGTATTTTCAAATCATTAATAATTATTGGTCTTTCAACAGTCCGATAATTATTATTTATCTTTAAACTTCCTTTAATTATCAACTTTATTTTTTTATTGTATCAAAGGTAAGTGCATAAATTTATATACTGTTTATCAAGGATCAAAAACAAATTTATTTAAATATTTACAATAATTATTTTCAAAATATGTCAAAAATTAGTAATTAATTAATTAATTAATTATTAATTTAATCATTTCTTTTGCGATTAAAGTATAATTCAAATAGTTTTTGCTGTGCAAAATTTGGAAAATTTGCAAATTTTTTTTGAAAATCTGGATTGCATAATTATTATGCAAAATCTATCAAACCGATTTTGATGAAATTTGGTGTGATGATTCTACATAACGTGAACTGTTCTTGAGCTAAGTATGAAGGTCCTGCACCCAACTTAAAGATCCCAAAAAAATTCCCTGAAAAATAATGTTTTTTAACCCATTTTTCGATTTTTACAATAATAATCATGATTCATTCGATTTGTAACTAGTCATATATTGTAAAATTTAATTACAAAAATTTTTTTCCTCTTCCATTTTCGCCTAAAATAAATTCTTGAAAACATACATAATTAAATAGGAAGAAAAATATGACATTTTTCAAATTTTTTTAACATATTGTGCCGCCAAAAGTTAAGCCCACGTTTTTTTTTATGCGCATATAAAAATTTTCATTTCTAGTGATATTTGAAAGCTAAAAAGCCAAAAATCTCCGTGGATATACGATGCACCCAAATATAGATTCTTTGAAACAGATACCGTCTGGACTATACCCTAAAAACAAACAAATACATCCCTCAGTAAGAGAAAAGGTACGAGATAGAATAAATGTTTTTAGTACACCTGCAGTTAAAGTTTGAAGAGTATTCCGACATTTACTTACCTGAAGAACCTTTACTGTGTTGACCGGCATATTCCATCCCTGGTCCAGTGACTTTGCACTGAGAAAACGAACACAATGGCAAACCGCAGGTATCAAATTGAAGATCGTAGCTCATTGTATAACACCACGGACCTGTAGCGCTTTTTGTTGGGTTTCTACAATAACTTTTTGCTTTTTTCTTCGACCCGTCAGCAAATTGAGTATCCTTTATATCCTCCCGAATTTTGTGCGGCTGGTTAGAGGTCCAGGATTGACAACGAACCCCTGATTCGGAGTTGGAAACCGTTCCCAAATATTCTAGCCCCAGATGACTCAACTTGCAAGTATTAAAATCTGTTAAATTACCGGGTGGAGTCTCATTTGCTATCGCACTTGAAATTATGAATATTTGTAAATAAAGGGTTATCATATTTGACAGTTGGACTTATTTTTAATATTTTCAAAAATAAAGACATGGACTACTTTTTATACAAATAAAATTAAAATGAAGATGGATGTTGTCGATAATATACAGGATGATAATAAATTGTGATCTGCAACGTCAAATCAAGCAATTTTTTACCTTTGTGAAGCTTGTGGATATATTAAAAAAAAATTTAAATAATTTTTGAAAATTTTTTTTTTCATTTTTTTTAGAATCATGAACGTTTTTTTTTTTGTTGAAGAAAATATGGATTATTGCTAAAAAAAAATTGTTAATAAAAAAAAATTAATAAAAAATTTTAAACATTCCGCGGGCACTAGGAAAAAAATGGCAGCGTTTGAAATTATCAGGGTTTCTCTAGAACACTTAGAGGTTGAAAAGTTACAGTCAATATCCTTAGTTTATTCATTATTTGCAAAGTTATACCAAGTTATTCAACTATCCCTAATTATGCAATTTTTTACCTTTTTTCTAACCAGCATTTTCAATTTAAAAAATTGTTTTTATCAAAAGCCCATAATTACGACTTGTAATACTTTGCAGTTTTCAAAACCCTGCTTGGATTTTCTGTATGACCATTATTTCCCAAGTAATTGATTGCCAGTCAAAAATGATTTTTTTGCTTTGATCGACAATAACTCAACGACAAATCATCGTACAAGGCTCCGGAACCGCTCAAATTGAAGAGAATTAAATTATCTAAGAGCTTTATGATGAAATTACCAAAAAAAATTTTTTTAAGTCCATAAGCCTTTTTAAAGAAAAGCACAAATTTGCAATTTTTTTTCGTTGATTTTCTTATTACTCGAAAACTGCTGACGCTAAAAAATTTTAAACTTCGGACCCAAAAAGTAGACACTTGAAGCTTCAATTTCCTTTTTTTTTTTTATTCTTTCTACAATCATTTCCCTCTAAGTTGCAGTTCTTTGAAAATCATCCAAAATTTTGGGTTTTATTTAATATCCCTTACTTTTTGTGCCTAGTATATTTAATATAATCACGTTTAATATTCCAAAATTCAATTCATTGTCAGTATATAAAGGTGAAATTTTTTCATACTAAAGAAAGCCACATATGATTTTACTGCGATACTACTCCAGTAAACTCACGTTTTTTCGGTATAATAATGATGTGATTATTGGTTCAATCAATAACTAAACATTTGATTGAGCGAAATAATCTCAGTAATTACAATGGCTAGTTAAGCAATGCTGATGAAAACTGTAAATATGTTACACTTACCCTTATAAACTTGTAAATTTTTACAGTTGATGCACGTTGGAGATGAAGGCATAAGTGCATTTACATTGGAGCTATCAGTCAGGGAATCCCCCACAATATTTTCACTTTTACAAAGAAGTAATGGTGAAACATCTAAAAAAAAATAGTATTTTAAATAAATATAATTTCAGATCCCAACGTAAATAAATATTCTTGTACGACCAACTTGGGAGGGACACATACTGAGCAATATATTATTCTGAGAGTTGGCTAGTTTGGCATACAAAAATTTTTGGGCATCTTTATATTAAACATTTCTAAACATATAGACAGGGTTGGGATAGCCCATTGAACATGGGCCTGTAACTTCTAAAGCAAGGCACATTGAGCTCTAACATGCTGCAGCTTCATTTGTCATCTAGTTACTTTATTAAAAATGTCCGCTGGCCATTGGTGACGGTACTCTTGCCGTGATAGTAACCTATGTGTTGGTTTAGTAACCAAGTTGCCTGTAATCGATCGATTATTCATATCTCTTATGATTCTAGTTGGTGGTAAAAAATAGCAAACAATTTATATTTCAATCAGACAAAAAAAAAACAAATTTAGCGTTAAGTGCTATAAAATTATTAGCAAATAAAAACTATTCAGGTAGAAAACAAAACAGAGATTTTTTTTTAAGTAGGCATGCACCAACACTTGTAAACAGAGGCAGCAGTTTATAAACATTGTGTATATTTCATTTGTTTTATATGTTTATATTTCATTTGTTTTGTTTAAATTTATTCATTATTTTCTATGTAAAAGTGTTGATTGACTTTGAGGATATGGGAAAGACCCATAAATTAAACAATCTTGTGTATATATGGACTGTATTTCTAGAGTTTTAACTAACGGAGCATATGACAATATTAGCGTTATTTCTGTCATCTGTCATCATCTCTTCACACGCCTACTCACCACGAGATTGTAGGATTGTCTATTTAACATGCCGGCCCCGTTGAAATGTTCACATTTCAAAAAGGAACTTAACTTATAAGTAACAACAATGGATCATTTTAAAGCTAACATTTGCATTATACAACAGAAAGCAATTAATTACTGACTGCTAAATAAAACTGAAAGTTTATTAAGTAAAGTGAAATAGTCTGCTAAATTTTAGTCACTCGGCAAAATGCAGATACGCGTGACAGCGCGTTTCACCACACCGGTATTAGTCTTCACAGACACTACCCGCACTTCACCGTCAGGCCCAGGAAACAGCTGTATAATTCGCCCCAATCTCCATCGCTGAGGAGGAAGGTTGTCCTCCTTTAGTAGGGCTAACGAACCCAATAACGTTTCCCGCTGAGAACTGAACTTCCATTTGGTCCTTGCTTGGAGGGTGTGGAGATACTCTCTTGACCACCTTTTCCAAAAGTGTTGAGTGATTTGTTGTAGGTGGTGAAATCTATTTAAGCGAGTAGCAGCTCGATGCAGCATATTTTCTTGAGGTAAGGTTGTTAGAGCACGACCAATCAGAAAATGTCCAGGCGTTAGTGCCTCAAGGTCAGAAGGGTCTTGGGATAAGGATGTCAGAGGGCGCGAATTTAGGATACCCTCAATTTGAGTCAGTAACGTGTGAAATTCCTCGTATGTGAAATGTACGTTATTTGCGATGCGCTTAATATGATGCTTCACACTTTTCACCGCGGCTTCCCAGATTCCTCCAAAATGCGGGGATCTGGTTGGGATGAAATGCCATTCTACTTGATTTTCAGCTAAAAATGATTGAAAAGCTTTGTCTTTATTTAATTGACAAATTCGCCGAAACTCATTACTCGCACCTGCATAATTAGTGGCGTTATCAGAATATAAGTGTTTACACAATCCTCGCCTCGCCACAAAGCGCTTAAACGCGTCCAGAAAATGATTTGTAGATAGATCACCAACAGGCTCTAAATGAATAGCCTTGGTGGCTAGGCAAATAAAAATGCAAAAATAAGTTTTTACAAGCTTTCTATTCCTTAATTTGCCGTCCTTGACCATAAACGGTCCCGCAAAATCAGTACCCACGGAATGAAAGACAGGTGAGGGATTTACCCTATAGCTGGGCAAGTTACCCATTTGAGGAAATACAAACGGTGGATTAGCACGAAAACATACAATACATTTCCGCAATTCTCTTCGGACCGCTTGTTTACCGTTTAAAGGCCAAAATCTGCTGCGCAAGCAGGATAATGTCAATTGGTGTCCGCTATGCAAATTTTTTATATGTTCGTGTTTAATTAATAGCCGAGTTAAAATGTGTTTAGCCGGTAAAACAATAGGAAACTTTTGCTCTAACTTTAAATTCGCATAAACTAATCTACCGCCAACTCTTATTAGTTCGTGTTCGTCCAAAAAAGGGTTAAGCGAAGCTAGTTTACTCTTCTTGGTAACTGATTTGTCTCGTTGAAGCGATTGTATTTCTGATGAGAATTCCTCGTTTTGGGCCAATTTAGCTAGCTTTAACGTCGCTGCATTTAATTCCTCACATGTTAAATGCATCGAAGAATGTGATTTAATTTTAAGTTTTACTCTGTTAATAAACCGCAACATGTATGCAATAACGCGCTGCAATTTTGAGAAACTTGAAAAATGATCGAATAAATTAAAAGAATCGTTTACCGTTAATGTTACTTGATTTTTATTTTTAATTTCGGGCATATCTTGGGATTTTGTTAAAATGTTACGTGGCCAAGCAGTCTCTGATTGCAGTAGATAAGAAGGACCGTGCCACCAAAATTTATTTTCCAACAAATCGATAGGGAAACAACCTCTAGATATAATATCTGCAGGATTTTGGGCAGAGGGAACATGTCGCCACTGCCTCTGATTAGTCAATTGCTGGATTTCAGAAACGCGATTCCCTACGAAAGTTTTCCAACTACTGGGATGAGCAGCAATCCAAGACAGAACTATCATTGAATCGCACCAATAAACTACGCTTTGAATATTTAATTTTAAAGCTTCAATAGTATCGCGTGCTAATTTTGCTAATAAAAGCGCCCCGCAAAGCTCTAACCTTGGCAAAGTCAAAGATTTGACAGGTGCTACCCGTGATCTCGCGCATATCAATTTTGCTGAAATGGTACCTGAATAGTCAATGGTTCTTAAATACAAACAGGCTCCATAAGCCCTTTCAGAAGCATCACAGTAGCCGTGAAGTTGAATGTCAACCATATTTTTAATGGTAATTTGCCGGGGGATGTTTAGTGCATTTAATATCGGTAACTGATCTAGAAATTTAACCCAGGAAGTTTCCATTTCGTTAGGCAACTTCTCATCCCAATCAATATTATTTTTCCAAATGGTCTGCAACATACATTTGGCGATAATTATAACACAAGAAATGAGACCAAGTGGGTCGTATAGGCGAGCAACTATTGATAATATAGCCCGTTTGGTTAGTTTGGTGTTCGAAATTTGACAGTGATCATTATTTAATGAAAAGTAAAAATTGTCTGTGTTTGCATTCCATGATATACCTAATGCCTTTATTTTGTCATCGTCTGAAAGAATGTAATTTGAATCGTTAGTCAAATTATTTGAGTTCCGAACAACCTCAGGATTATTTGAAATCCATTTTCGCAGCATGAAACCTGCACTAGATAAAACATGCTCTAAGTCTTCCTTTAGCCTTATAGCTGCGCTGACGTCGGAAGCGCCAGACAATAAGTCATCCATGTAAAAATCATTAATAATTATATCGTGAATTAACGGAAAGTTTGATTTGTTTTCAATAGCTACCTGTTTTATACACCGAGTCGCTAGAAACGACGCAGGAGCTGTGCCATATGTTATAGTTTGTAATTCGAAGTGTTTGAGTTTACCGTCTGTACTATCACGCCACACAATTCTTTGAAATTTTCGATCTGTAGCATTAATAAGTACCTGACGATACATTTTCTCCACGTCAGCGATCAAGACCACATTGTGAGTGCGAAATCTTATCAAAATTGAAATTAAACTGTTTTGTATGCTAGGACCAACCATGAGAACGTCATTTAGAGACATGTTATTTGTCGTCTTGGCGGACGCGTCAAACACTACGCGTAGTTTGGTTGTTAAACTGTCCTGCTTTAATACGCTATGATGGGGAAGATAATAACAATCATCAGAATCATCTGTTATTTCTACCATATGCCTTAATCCTTCATACTCTTTCATAAATAGCTTGTATTGTTCATATAACTGGGGATTTTTTTGTAATTTACGCTCGACCGCATAAAAACGTCTGATCGCTTGCTCCTTTGATTCACCGAGTTCGCGATTTTCCTTGAACGGTAAACTAACCACGAACCGTCCGTTTTCGTTTCGATAAAAATGATCAAGAAAATGTGTTTCGCAATCTCTTTCTTCCTCAGTATAATTCGACTGAGAAGAAGCATGTGAATTATCAACCATCCAAAACTTCTCCAATTGTTCATTTAATTGCAAATTTGAAATATTTGAAGCAGTTACAAAGTTGCATATCGTGTTTTGTTTTGCACGAGTAGGTATCGGACCCGAAGTTATCCAACCTAACACTGTATTTTGTAATGTCGTAGTGCGTTTGTTTAACTGAATTTTTCCATTTCTTAGCAGATCCCAAAAAATGCTAGCACCTAATAGCACGTCAATTGGACCTGAATTGTAAAATTCGGGATCGGCCAAAGGTATGTCTGAAGGTATGTCCAACAATTCGCCGTCAAATGATGTATGCGGTATATTTTCTGTGATGTGATTTATTACTAAAAAGTTTAATTCACGTGCAAAATTATTATATGTTGATTTAATAGAACAGCGCACTTTCTTTGAAATTTGTGATGCGACCTGATTAATGCCTGACACCGACATATTTAATTTTGTGGGTTTTATGCCTAATTTATTACATAAAGATTCCGTTACAAAATTCGATTGGCTGCCACTATCCAATAATGCTCTGCATTTAATATGATTGCCTAAATTATCCAAAATGTAAATAATTGCGGTTGATAATAAAATATAATCGTTGTTTAATTGTGAATAATGAGATAAAGCAGAATTGACAGAATTTACTGCGTTAATTTGCGAAACGTCTCGAGTAATTAATGAATTTGTTGCTTGAGCATTAGTACCTTCAGTATTTCTAGTATCTTGCAAATTACAATTGTTGTTATTTGAAATTGCAGTCACTCTCTTGTTTCCATCAAAGTGAAGCAATGTATTATGAACTTTATTGCATTTTTTACAGGTACCGCTTTTACAAACTGATGAATTGTGACCAGACCGTAAACAATTAATGCATAAGTTTAAAGCCTTGGCTCGTTCAAATCTGTTATTTGGTGATAAAGCTAAAAATTTCTTACATTCAAAGATATAGTGCTGCTCATTGCAAAAAACACAAACCTGCGCTGTAGCAGTTGCATGGCATACCCATTTGGGATCAGCTCTTTGTCTAGATTTGTTTGATATTATTTGATTTGATACTGTAGACACCTTGTTGCTAATTGTTTTTAATAATAGGCACTTGTTATGCAAGAATCTTATGAAATCGTCTACCTTTGGTGAGGTATCATTTTTTGAACTAACTTCCCATTCCTTTCTTGTGACGAAATCTAATTTAGATGTTAACAAAAAAATCAAAATAGTATCCCATGTATCTACTGACTCCCCCAGGTTTTTTAGGGCACGTAAATGTTGTTTAAATGTATCTAAAAATTGTCTTAATGACATGTGTGACTCTTGATTTATGTTCGGAAGCCCGAATATATTTTTTAAATGACTATGAATTATTAATTTCTTGTTTTCATAACGCTCCTTTAATAAGTCCCACGCCACCATGTAATGTTCATCGGATGTTTCCAAATTTTTTATACATTCTGCGGCCTCATCCTTTATAGCACTTCGTAAATAATAGAATTTTTCACTTATAGTTAAATGAGGATTATTATGTATCAAAGAATTGAAAGAATCGCGAAACGACACCCAAGCCTCGTCACTTCCTTTAAAATCTGGAAGATTAATCTCCGGTAATTTAACATTAGATATCGTATTCTTAGACGTGGATGCGCTACTTTTACTGTCCGTCAGATTATTTACCGCGGCATTTACCTTTGACTCCGCCTCTGAGATTAATTTAAAATATTTATTTTCAAATTCTTCTGTTTCCTTGTCGTGATCGGGTTTATCATCTAAGAGCTGAATATCGGCTTGAATTTGAACAAAATTGTCCCAAATAGCATCTATTTTTTGTGTGCGTTTTTGTAACTCCGCTAATTGTGCAGGTGATTGATCAATATTGTTTAAAAACTTTTCAAACCTTGTTAGCTGTGCCTTTAACATACCACGTTTTGTTATTAATGCATTTAATTGAACCTCCATAATGATGAACGATGAAATGAAAAATGTGAAGCAATATTTATTTATGAGTAAATAGATTAATCAATACCGTGTATATGTATATTTGAATATGAGCTATTATCTAGAAATAATATCTAGTAATACGAAATATGTTTTAAATGTGACAAGATTAAACAATGTGAAATATCTAGATTTAATATCTAGGCGATGTATGTGTGTGCATAAATGAGTGAATTATGTATATAAATAAATGTGAAAATATTGAACAATGTGTTACTGTCCCAAATCGAGATTAGAAATGAAGAAAGATATGGAAAAAACTGACCTTCAGTTGACACTTACGCCTGCAACCAAAGTTCTGTGACGAATTTAGAACTGCGGACGTGCAGATCGTGCTTTATGTCGATGGCTCGTGTCTCCAACGGATTGTAGCTCGAACTATTCTTCGTAAAACTGCAAGATCCGTGCTCGAATTGACCAAATTTTGTTGATTGACTTTGAGGATACGGGAAAGACCCATAAATTAAACAAACTTGTGTATATATGGACTGTATTTCTAGAGTTTTAACTAACGGAGCATATGACAATATTAGCGTTATTTCTGTCATCTGTCATCATCTCTTCACACGCCTACTCATCACGAGATTGTAGGATTGTCTATTTAACAAAAAGTTTATACAGGGTTATACAAATTTGGGAATAGATGAATCCTGAAAATGGAGTCAATATCGTAAAAAAAAATTTGCAAAATCCTTAGTTTCTGAGAAAAAAATTATTGAAGTTGTATTTACAACCCTTACTGTACTCTCTAGTGTCATTTGCGATGTGCACAATGCGCTTTCTTTCTCCACGTGGCGCCAAGCCATTCCGAATACTGAAATTCGATTTTAGTATTAACATTTTTATGATAGTGTTTACATTAGTTTTTCAAGTGTCAAAAATGGCTTACGTGTATAGCAACTCAGAGTTGATCGAGATTGTTTTAATTTATAGTGAAACAAGACATTTGTGTTATGGTGAAGCATTTGTGTTGTGATGAAGCAAGACAAGCATTTGAATAAGAGTATTCGAGTTTTAAAAATACCGTAATGTTAATTTGAAGAAATGTACCCTTCGGATTAATAGCAGAAGCATTTTTTCATGCACGATGGTGCTTCAGCCCATTTCAGTGTCTTAGTTCCAGACTGTTTAAATAAAACTTATCCAGTCCGATGGATTGGACGAGGTAGGCCCATTGCGTGGCTCCCTCGTTTGCTAGATTTAAACCGTTGGACTATTTCCTTTGGGAAATTATTATTGCAAAAAAAATACGGAATAAGCAAGGGGTTTTCCAGTGAGTTAGAAGGTCAATGAGAGGCCATTTAGAGAGTTGTATCGAGATGAATGGAAGGCACTTTCAACATTTGTTGTAACATGTTCCTTATATTGTGAATATGTTTTTTTCTGTTATCTAATATTATAAAAACCCCATTTCGGGTGCAATCTTTGAATCGCTATAACACCCCGAGTACTGATTTGTAGACCTATGTTCATATGAAAAATTCTGCATGTTTTTTTTATGTAGAATCGCCCCTGAAATTATTCAAATGGAACTTCCGGACACCCTGTATGTGTTCACTTTTATGCAATACAAAAACGTTGTATTTAAGTGAATGCAGTGTTAGTAACATTAAAATTTAAAGTTAGCTTAATTACAGAAAGATAAATAATACCGTATTCAGAAGGCGGCAAGCATTCTTGTAGAAAAATAGCTTTGTTTGGATCGTTGTAACCCATCATGAGTTGTTGTATACTTTTATACCTAGTAAGGTCATCATTGAATATGAATTCATCACCGGTGATTTTTTCTAATTTGAATGTTTTTGGTTTCAAGCTGAAAGTAATGTGGTAAAATTTAGAGAAATACTGATTTGCGTGTAACTTACCCTTCTTTCATGCAAACATCTATATAGTAACTATTGTACTTTGATTCACTTTCACGTAATATGAAACATCCTGCTCTGTTTCCCCTTTTTGATTCAAGTTTTGCATAAGAAAATTCGCCACTTAAAAAAAAAATTAAATTAATAAATATTATTTTCCATTTTTAATAGTTTTCTTACCCAACTGGTCCATGACATTTCATTGCATGTAATTTTTGCAATGATGGAGTAATAACTTCTTTACAAATATTGAAAGTCCATTTACATGTTAATCTGTAATAACCATCTAACAGGCTAATGAAGGAGTACATCACTGGTATCGAGTGAAATTTCAGATAAAATGGTATTCCATTTTTACGACTTATTTCTATGGTACCATCATTTCGTATTGAAATAAAACCCAATTCATCTATTGTACAAATTAAATACCATTCCTAAAAGAACGTACCATTCAAAATTATTAAAAAATACATAACTGTTATGAGTGAGAGTAAAAACGCCTTTAATTTACCTCTTTTTTGGAGTCCATACAATATTTCAATCCAGGTTCCGATGAATCATAAGGCGACACTTTGATGGTAATGCTACAAGTGGAACCTTTTTGGTCTATAACTGCTTTGTAACATTCTGAAAGGTATTCAGGAGCTATATTTTGCAATTGTCTCAGATACTCCGCCTTTACATATCTAAAAATGTATATTTGTATTTAAAACAAAGTAGTACTGTAGATTTATAATCATGCAAATAGAAAATTTAAATAAATTAAAATGGAGAGAACAGTATTATCTGAAAAGTGAAGTGAAATACTTACGAGGCATCATAACCAGACTTCCGCAATTTACTGAGCGTATCATGAATAGGTTTCCTAATAAAAAATGGATAGCGTTTTAATACATCTTTTGGAATAAATTTTTTATAATCACTTTCAACACTTTCCCTTGATATGCCCTTCTCTAGCATAACTCTATACATGTCAGTAATTCCCAAACCGACTAATTCTCTTCTATACTTTTCATACACGATATCAGGTATTTTATTTTCCAAAACATCGCTCCGAGCTTGGTGGAAATAATAATTATAAGTGTTGATGTCTAGTTTTTCTAATTTAGAAACATTCGCTACTTTAAAGCGAATTCTGAAATCTACATTAGTACTACCTTTTTCTGTAAAAGTAGCAGCTGGCATTAGATAAATAGATTTACCAGTTACTCGCAACGCAAACAAATTTCGTGTTAATGTAGCAATATTCAGCTGCTTACAAACGTAAATGCAAACATCTTCTGCTGTTGTATTACTATCATACGGCACAGAAATACTCTTATTTTCTAAAACAATATTAACGTTTAAAGCTGAATCTCCCATGTTAAGTTTGATAGAGTTCTATTGTAAATGTACTATTCAAAATCATTAAGAACGTATTTTAAAAACAATTTTATTCAGGCAAATTTATTTACTAATATTTCTTATCGTATTCATTATACGCAGTAGTAATCAAAACAAGATAAAAATAGTACAAAACAAAACAGACAGCAGACCATAGACCATATAACAAGGTCAATGCAGCAGACGACAATAATTGATAAGGTAGGAACAAGATCACTAAAGGGCACTTCGGAGTGGTACCTCTTCTTTTGGGAATACGCGTCCATGCTCGGAACAAGGTGGGAATAGGCACAGTATAGATCACAAAACAATAGGGACAGCGCATAGACTTGGACCAAGATCTTTATTTTATATCTTTATTTATACAAACTGATCTTGGACTTGGACAGTATTAATTAATGAATGAAACCCGCCAGCCATATTATTTGACATTGCTATTTTAAATTACTTCACACTATTGTTTCAGTCAACATTTGTATGAGAGTTTTAAGCAAACTTATGAATGTAAAAAGAACAAATACTTTTGAAAGATATAGTAATAACGATTTCCATTGGGGAAAACTGGGGCTGTACTCGGGCAGCACTGACACTCCACTGGATGTATGAGAAATATGCTCTGGTGCAATGTCAATGGAATGACAATTTTTGCGAGGGTTTCTGACATTACGGGTTAGGTTTATGTTTTGATTTTTATTCAGTCAAAGTAACAGTTGACCAGTTGAAGTTTTTCAAAGAAGGTAGTTACAATGAACCAAGACTTAAATTTGAAATTTAAAATAAACGACGAGGAAGTTACATTGTGTATTCCTGTAGACGAAACGGGGATCACTTATTTAAGTTTGTAGATGACATTTTCATTGAATCTTTCCACTTTTGGCAATTGTTTGCGTATAACAGGTATAACATACATTTCATCATCATCACTACTACTACTTGATAAAAACGATAATAATGGAGCAACAACTGCTTTGTCTATATTTACCACAATTTTTTCTTGTACTGACACCGGCATTAGCTCCAAGACCTCGTGCGAAATAATATGCACTCAGAGCAAGAACTGTTGCTCTAGTTTTCCAATGGAATTTGAAAATTTGCACCGACTTGACCAATGGAGCGTCAATGGTGCAATCAGTGTGCACCAGTTTTATCAATGGAAATCGCTATAAGTATCTTAGTTGGTTTCAGTTTAAATTGTTTAAAAGAATACAGCTAATATCTAGTTGCTGTTGCTGAGAAGAGGAAGAGGAACTGAGACTGAGGATCGAAAGCAACTTTATAACTGCACAGAACACCCTGTGGTATGGTGAGGGTGTTCTGTGGATTAGTGGTTTAACAACTCTCTGTATTCTATGGTTATAACCATACTAACCATAGTTTTGTTAGCTGTTATAGTAACTGTATTTTATACGAAAAACATTGTTTTTAATATGTCAGAATTGGTTGAAATTGATGGATCGCTTCTTGAAGGGGTAAGTGCAAATAACTTCAGTTAGTAGTAAATGCAACTTGATTATTTTTTTTGTATTTAGGGTGGACAAATTTTGAGAGTAGCTGTTACATTAAGTGCTATCAAAAAGATTCCTGTTCGTATTACAAAAATTAGAGGAGGACGCTCTAAACCAGGTCTTATGGAGCAACATTTGAAAGGTACCATAAGAATTTGTATATAACCTTTGGGAAAATTGAATGATTTTAGGCATCGAGTTAGTAAGAAACATATGCAGTGCTAAAGTTAAAGGAGTAACTTTGGGATCTACAGAAATAGAATTTTGGCCCGGAGAAATAAAAGGTGGTTCATTTAGAGCTCAAGTTAAAACTGCAGGAAGTATAAGTTTATTGTTGCAAGTTGCTCTACCATGTACGTTGTTTGCTAGTTCTCCTACTACTTTAACTTTATTGGGAGGAACTAATGCAGAAATGGCACCACAAATAGATTATACAACTGAAGTATTTAGGCCAATTTTGGAAAAATTTGGAGCAACATTTGATTTTAATTTAATTAGGAGGGGATACTTTCCTAAAGGTGGTGGTGAAGTTGTTGTGCATGTCAATCCTGTAGAAAATCTTAATCCAATAGATATGACAGAACAAGGCAATGTCACGGCTATATATGGCTGGAGTTTTGTGGCAGGTGTCTTACCTATAAGTTTGGCCCATCGATTGGCTGATTCTGCCATTAGTTGTTTGCAGGACATTTTTAAAGGCATTAGAATTGAAAGATATAAGGAAAATACAAACATTGCTCCAGATAATTGTGCAGGAATGGTGTAAGTTAACATTACAGTTTTTATTCCTATTAAGTATTCAATACATATAATGTTAAAAAATTATTATCAGTTTGGTTGCAGAAACAGACACGGGATGTATTTTGGGGGCATCAGCAATAGGCAATCGAAATGAAAAAACGGAGGATACTGGCAAAAAGGCAGCTGATGAGCTATTGAATTCTATCAAGGATGGGGCTTGTGTTGATGATCACAGCCAAGATCAAATCATTATTTTGATGGCATTAGCTAAGGGTAAATCTCGAGTTAAAGTGAGGTCTGTAACAATGCACACAAAAACAGCAATATTTATAGTGGAAACATTAACAAATGTAAGTAGAAATAACGCTGTAGAATTATTCTTTTACTATAAAACGTATTTCAAAATTTTAATTTGAATGTTTTTCGTATTATTTTTCGTATTTATTATTATTATTATTATTATTATAAACATGTTTTTATAATGAATCCCGAGTATGTAAAGCAAAAACACACGAATAACTCTATGCCCAAGTATAACTCGGGCGTGTGAAAAATGGAATATCAAGCAATCCCGAGTCACATTCAGGCAGAAGTATGAAACGGTTAATAGTATTTTTTGGCACACACAAAAGAAATACAGTGTAGGAAAGTACCGATGGTCTATCAGAAGTTACGTGAGAGCGATAAAGTAAGCCATAGAAATCCATGTGATAGACAAGGATGGCTATAATGAAGGCGTCTAATAGTCAACGCCCATTTCGCCCTTCCACAAATAAGAAGTGGATCTTATTTGCGGAAGGGCGAGACGGGCGGTGACTATGAGAAGCCTTCATTATAACCATCCTTCTCTATCGCATGGATTTCTATGGCTTACTTTATCGCTCTCACGTAACTTCAGATAGACCATCGGTACTTTCCTACCCTGTATAAAAAAATAGCCACTTACACGAAAAGCATCAGTTAAGAAATCCATTTTATGTTCTTACACAAATTTCTCACATTGAGGAAGAAAATAATTGGTTGAGATTTCAAGATACTAAACAGGCTGTTACAAATTTGCTTCTCACTACAGGGATATCGAAAAGGGTAAGAGATACAAACTAGCTTAAATGGGGGCAAAGTTGAAAAAAACTGAAATTTTGGAAATCCGTTTTTGTTTCATTTCGGTCTTGTTTGAGGTGATATTGAAAAGAGAAGAACACTTTCTCATGGCCACTTTTTTCCTTCTATCGAATGGCATAATCAATTTTTATATGTAACGTTTGGAAATTTTATTACATTTTTTGCATGCCTTCATGACCCCCAATACTTCCTCAGCCTGAACCAGATTCGCAAGGTAATCGGATTTTTTAATTTTTGATATTTATGGTTTGTGTAGTTTGGACCTTGAATAAAAGTTTTTTGAAGTAGTTCGACGCAATGTTCATAAATTACCGAGATGATCGATTTTGAAGTTTTCCCATTTTTCAATTGGGAGCGTGGCCTAGTTGGTAGCGTTCGGGACTGACAGTCACAAGATTGGTGGTTCGAGTCTCGTCACGTGACGTTTTTTATTTTCAAAACCATATAGTTTTTTTTATTATTTTTCTCATCTTGAATATTATGAACAAACGAAATATTATAATGACTACTTATGTATATGTTTCAAATATTTCATTAAAATGCACAATTGGTTGATAAACAATATTTGTTATGAATTAACAGTGTTTCTTTAAAACTTTTTTATTTTTTTATTATTTTATTTTTAGTATTTGACATTTTACGCAGGGCAGTGTGGCTGGCATAAGCCAGAATGATAGTTATAGAAACATGGGAAGCAGAAATTTTTTAAGCATCTAGCACGTCATGTAAATGTTATGTTTTTACAGATGCATTTTGTTTGCAAAATATCGACGTTGAAGCAAATTTCGTTAACATTTTGAAAGATTGTTCTTTCATCGCACAGTTTCGATGCTTCTGTACCCTTTGTGGAATTTACCAAAACTTTCTATGCCCGAGCAGGTGTGTTCTGTAAGCAGTTTTTCTAAACACGGTGGACGACCCACACAACCTAGCTCAAAATTTTAATCAAACACTTGAAGAATATTCCTACATTCTTATAATATTTCGTTTGTTCATAATTTTTGAGATAAGAAAAAGAAAGAAAGCTAGATGCTTAAAAAATTTCTGCTTCCCATGTTTCTATGATAACTACCATTCTGGGTCGTGCCACACTGCATAAAATGTCAAATACTAACATAAATATAAAATAAAAGAACATCGTCAGACCCGAATGCTACCAATTAGGCCACGCTCCCAGTTCAAGAACGTGTCACATCTAGTGGATATAGCTGTAGGTAAAACTTCAAAATCGATTATCTCGATAATTTATGAACGTTACGTCGAACTACTTCGGAAAATTCTTATTCAAGGTCCAAACCACACGTACCATAAATATTAAAAATTACAAAAATCTGATTACCTTACCTGCTCCTTGTCAGACGTTTTGTCACAAAATATTCATCTTCAGTGTATTCGTTCCAAATTTATCTAAATTTTTTATTTCGATTTCTTTGTTTATTGAATTATCGTATACTGTGTCATTAAACCCTGTGAAATTCATGTAATTATTTAAACTTTTACCTCCACGCATTAAAGTAAAACATTATTAGAGTTTTATTCCCGTGTCCATAGTTATCTAGGCTTCTCGAGTGCTCAAAATTCAAACAAATTCTATTTCTCTATCTATTTTTTCTGATCTTCATGTTCAACCTTTGCCAAAACTAAAATGTTTTTGAACATTTACTGAAATTTTTTAAAGAATAATATTCAGTTGGCATTTTGGTTGTTCATATGCATTTTTAAGAATTAATTTGTCATACTAAAATTAAAATTGTGATAATGTTTTAATTTTGACACAACTTATTGAGTTATGTATGACCAAGTGATGGTAATAGTTAATAATAATAAATGTTTAATTGTAACGGGTGGTGGTAATAGTTTAAATAACTAGATGGATTTCACAGGTCTAACGACACTTACAATGTGCGATAATTCAATAAACAGAAATTTAAATAAAAAATTTAGATAAATTTGGAACGAATACACTGAAGATTAGTTTTACGAGACAAAACAATTGAATCTGCCTCGAGCTGAGGCAGTACAGTATTGGGGGTCATGATGGCTTGCAAAAAATGTAATAAAATTTCAAGGGCTGTATTTAAAAAAATGAAGTTGATGATGGTCCTGGAGAAACGAAACGTTACATATAAAAACTGATTATGCCATTCGATAGAGGGCAAAAAGTGGCCTAGAGAAAGTGTTCTTCTTTTTTCAATATCACCTCAAACAAAGCTGAAATGAAACAAAAACGGATTTCCTTTCGTTTTTTTTTTTTAAATATTTCGAAAACTAATCATGTTCGCCTTGATTTTTTAGAGGCATAATCACGGCAAATAAAACAACCAGCAATATCACTACATCTTTCCCGCGCAAAATTAAATTTGACCTTGCTAATGTCAGTTGGGTAGGAAAAGTCAGGGCTGTATTTGAAATATTTATAAGTTATGAATTTCCTTCAACAGAGTTGTAATATAAAATTTATAATATTAATGGATTGTTAAATGTATATACTCATTATACCCGTATATTTACTTGTTACTTTATATATTTTGACTAAATCAACTAGTGTCTTTCGTACAATATATATAATTATAGTAGTATAGGTAAGTACAAAAAAATATTGCACTTAAAATANATAATACTATCCTATAATAATAATTTTCACAATTGTGATGAAAATTGCGATAAAAATATTAAGTACATTTCCAGTATAATTATACAGCTGACAACAATGATACAATTAGACTGTGAATAGACCAGGCTTCATCTAGAAATGTAAATAAATAAGTCCCCTTTATTTAAATGTCCTTGGTCACGACGGACTCGAACCAGCGATCTCGTGACCATCAGACCCGAACGCTACCAATTAGGCCACTCTCCCAGTTGAAGAATGTGTCGCATCTAGTGGATTTAGCTGTCAGGTAAAACTTCAAAATCGATTATCTCGGTAAATTATGAACTTTGCGTCGAACTACTTCGAACAATTATTATTCAAGGTCCAAACCAGACGTACCATAAATATAAAAAAATACAAAAATCTTATTACCTTACTTACTCCTTGTCAGACGTTTTGGCTCAATAAATTCATCTTCAGTGTATTCGTTCCAAATTTATCTAAATTTTTTATTTCGATTTCTTTGTTTATTGAATTATCGTACACTGTAAGTGTCATTAGACCCTGTGAAATTCATGTAATTATTTAAACTTTTACCTCCACGCATTAAAGTAAAACATAAGAGTTTTATTCCCGTGTCCATAGTTATCTAGGCTTCTCGAGTGCTCAAAATTCAAACAAATTCTATTTCTCTATCTATTTTTTCTGATCTTCATTTTCAACCTTTGCCAAAACGAAAATGTTTTTGAACATTTACTGAAATTTTTTAAAGAATAATATTCAGTTGGCATTTTGGTTGTTCATATGCATTTTTAAGAATTAATTTGTCATACTAAAATTAAAATTGTGATAATGTTTTAATTTTGACACAACTTATTGAGTTATGTATGACCAAGTGATGGTAATAGTTAATAATAATAAATGTTTAATTGTAACGGGTGGTGGTAATAGTTTAAATAACTAGATGGATTTCACAGGTCTAACGACACTTACAATGTACGATAATTCAATAAACAGAGAAATTTAAATAAAAAATTTAGATAAATTTGAAACGAACACACTGAAGATTAATTTTACGAGACAAAACAATTGAATCTGCTTCGAGCTGAGGCAGTACAGTATTGGGGGTCATGATGGCTTGCAAAAAATGTAATAAAATTTCAAGGTCGTATTTAAAAAAATGAAGTTGATGATGGTCCTGGAGAGACGAAACGTTACATATAAAAATTGATTATGCCATTCGATAGAGGGGAAAAAGTGAGCATGAGAAAGTGTTCTTCTTTTTTCAATATCACCTCAAACAAAGCTGAAATGAAACAAAAACGGATTTCCTTTTGTTTTTTTCTTTTAAATATTTCGAAAACTAATCATGTTAGCCTTGATTTTTTAGAGGCATAATGTTGGTCCCCTGATTACGCAACTTTGCCCCCATTTAAACTACTTCGTACGTTTTACTGTTTCTGAGATCCCTGTACTGAGAAGCGAATTTGTAACAGCATGTATACATACGAGTTTATAAAATCAACTCCTTGACTGATCATTTTGATGATGCAAAAATATATATTTTTTAAATTACATTTTCTCTTCAGTGTAGTAAAAATACCTAATTAAATAAAAAATATATTAATTCTGTATATTATAAAAGTAACATTTTTATTTCAGGTCAAATTTGAAATTATACCACAAGATACATGCAACATTATTGAATGTTCCGGATCCTAATATTACCAAAACAAGACTTACTGTATTCATTAAGATTTATTGTATTAATTTTTTTTGCTGATTATTATTAGTCACGTCATCAGTAAATAGTTAGTTTTTGTATGTTTATTTCATGAATAAATTAATTGATTTACTTATTTAGTCTATTTATTGTAAATATTTTTTAGGAGCCCTTTACAAAATAGAAATCTCATTAACATAAAATATATATTTAAATATTTAACTATGTACAATAAAAAGAGCAATACAATTTTATACACGTTAAAGACAAGGTGATTCCTAACTTGAATTGTTTAGAATAAGCAATTTTTCAAACGTCTTTAAAAAATTTAGATTTAAAAAGAGTTATTTGTAAAACTGATTATTTTAACTTCTATATACTTAAAAAAGTGTCAAGTTAGGAATCGTTCTGTCTCTACTCCTGTTTATAACAGAATATGCTTATCTAATTGCAGTTCTTGCCTTAGGACTCCATCAAATATAGCCTCTGGTTCCACTATTATAATCTGCGGATGCTGTTTTCTTATTTTTATGTATTTACTTTTATTTTCGGGAGATGCGATTACTACAAAAAATTCATCCACGTTTTTCGCTGGACACCTTGGCACACACTTACCGCCACAAGCTTTTATCGCACCTAAAATTAATATAAATAAAATACATTCACTAAAATCTCAAAAAATAATGCAACTTCTAGTTAATTTCAAATATTTTCCTATTACCTTTTAAAACATCTTCAGCATTGTTAACCATAACTTGGAATGTGTAGTTGCTCAATAATTTTGTATTACCAGCACGCAATAAAGATGCCTTTAGCGAAAAATTCCACTTTGATTCGGCTTCTTTGTCTAACAATATATAATCCCATGGATCTAAAATAACATAATGGATATCGTTATTTAAAAACTATAGGTAGCAGTGGCGACTGGGGAAAATTCAAGTCATATTTTGCTAATGAAGGGTGGACCCATACAAATTTTTAGGCCTATACAGGGTGTAACACCGGGAACTGCGTCAATCGATATCTAGGAAAGTACTGCTCCGAAAAATTTGAATATTTGGCAACATGGCAATGTGCCTAGGGCCAACACAATTAAAATATCTAGATCTCTCCAGCACTTCTGGTTATACCAGAAGTCGACGCCAACTTTGTTATATTAAATGGGACACCCTATACAGGGTGTCTCACGGTGACGGCCCTTTAGAATTATTTCAGAAACTAGTTCGACTTGAATTTTGAAAATTTGGGATACCGGGTTTTCGGGCATGCCCTTCTCAATTAATATAATGGCGTCCACGTAACACTTCCGGTTATACCGGAAGTCGGCATCAACTTGCTTGTTTTAAATGGAACACTCTATATATTATTGCAATTTTGGATTCTACATGTTATTTTAGGTGGACTTTTATGAAGTTTCCCTATTCCGAAAATTACATTTAAATTTTTTCAAAAAAATGGAGAGAAACAGTGACATGGTTTGAACCATGTATATTTTACAGTAAGAAACATTGAGCAACAATATTTATAGGGGGATATCTAGACCCTTAAGCTTTCCATCCATACTGAGTATTATGTCTATTACAAATACCTTCTCTCGTAAATTTTGACTCATCTGTCCATATAATATGTTGCAAAAATTGTGGATCTTCTTGGTATCGCACTGACATCGTTTCACAAAATTGTATACGTTGCACGGCGTCACCCGGATGAAGAGCAGAAAGTAGTTTAAATTTGTATGGATGCATATCATTAGTTCTTAGCATCCTGTGAATGAACGCTCGTGAAATGCCTAAATCATACTCTGCGGCACGAGTTGAGGATTCTGAATGAACATTAAAATAGGCTAGCACATTTATTACATTATCTTCATTTGAAATTATTGGTTTTGGTAAAATTCTTTCTGCACAAATTCGACCATACTCTAGTTGATTTGCTAAAATTCTTCTTAACTTTTTTCTGCTCCTTGGTGGCAAATTTGGATATGTCTCATTAAAAACTGTACATGTTCTGCTTATAATCCCATTGCAATGTCCGTGAATGAATAATAAATTTAAAATATCAGCATTTGAATATGTCAACGCTTTAGTATGAAAACATGCTATCTCAAATTTCAGTTGGAAAACATGCTATCTCAAATTAAGCTTGGAAAACATGCTAACTCAGATCTTTAGGTAAAAACATGCTATCTCAGTGTGGCTAGAAATTTAAGTTGGCACATTGAATGATTGAAACCGAGCATTTGTAATAAACTTATATAATATATTTTTTTAAAAGTAAGGAATGTTTATGTTCAGGTACACTGTTTATTTTATATTTTTTATTCAACATTTTTCAATTAATTTTGTTAAGTTACTGTTATAAACAACAAAATTGTTAATTAAAAAAATAGAATAATATGCAGTATGCTGCAACACATACATTACTCGACGTTTTTTGAAATAACAAATTATAAAAAAATAGTGTATACCTTAATGTATATAAATGTTTGTTATTACTAAAAATTATTCGATTTTTTTCATACAAGTTTGCTTTGATATCAAAATTAATAGCGCACTCTTATCTGATTTATAGTCGCTACTCTTGATACACTTATTTTTCTTATTCACAAAATCTGGGATGCACAATTTATTCTGAAAATAATTTTGAATGCCTAAGGAGACTGTAATAAAAAGAAATAAAAAGTAGACCAGGCTAAGCCACAAACTCCGGGTCCGAATCTCTTACTGCACTTCAATAAAAACAAATGGTTTCTTAAGGGTACGGTAGTCTCGTGCTTGCATAGACTATGAAAATGAAATGCAGCAAACTTGTATGAAAAAATTCGAATAATTTTTAGTAGTAACAAACATTTTTATATATTAATGTATACACAATTTTTTTATAATTTGTTATTTCAAAAAATGTCGAGTATGTGTTGCAGCATACTGCATATTATTCTATTCTTTTAATTAACAATTTTGTCGTTTATAACAGTGTAACTTAACAAAATTAATTGAAAAATGTTGAATAAAAAAAAATAAAATAAACAGTGTACCTGAACATAAACATTCATTACTTTTTAAAAATATGTTGTACAGGGTGTTAAAAAAAGAGTGTAAAATATTTAAGGAGGTAATAGTATGAACCAAAATAAGCAGAAAAGTCTCAATAAACATGGGTCCGCAAAGTAACGGTTGCGGAGATATGGAATGTTTTATGTTTTTTAGCCCCTTTTTTTATTTTGCAAAAACGTTGTGTATTTTCTTATAATAGCTGGTTGATGTTTAGTGAAATAAACAGTATTTGACAGTTGTTCTCAGTGCATAAGTTTTCTTTCGCTATGGCTGGTTACTCTAACGCAGAATTAACAGACATGCATTTCATGTATGGTCGTGCTAATGGGAACGCCACCGAAGCGCAACGTCTTTATGTTGACGCTTATCCAAATCGCCAGATTCCTTCACAACGCATGTTTGGAAGAATTCACCAAAGATTGCGTGATACCGGTTCCTTGAGCAAACAGTGCCATTTATCCGGAAGACCAAGGTCGGTATCCACTCCTAGAACAGAAGAAGAAATTCTAGCAGTGGTAGAGCAGAATCGAGATACGAGTGTGCGGAGGATATCAGCCGAGGTAGGAATTAGTGGTTCTCTTGTTTGGAGAATCCTTCACGAGCAACTGCTTTATCCATACTATTTCTACGTCATGATGCTGAAGACCCTCGTTTTCTTGCAAACATTCTTTTTACTGACTAATTTTCACAATACGCATATTTGGGCCGACGAAAATCCTCATGCTCTAATAGAATCTGGACATCAGGCACATTTTTCATTAAACATTTGGATGGGTATTGTAGGTGACAGGTTTCTAGGTCCTGTTGTTTTACCAAACCGATTAACAGGCGCTGNAATGTGGTTTCCATTGCCATTTCGTGCGACCGAAAATAATAAAAATTAGTGAAGAAATATTGCTATATCTTAAAAACTAACAACTTTAGGTGTAGAACATACTTAATAAAAGTTGAAGTGGACTGATATGTGAACAAAATACAGGGAAATACATTTGAAAAATTTTAGAAAATCAAGTTTGAACTTTCTAACCGTGATCGTATTATAAAAAATGCCCTGTATAAAATATCGATTTTAGCTAGAATAGGAGTCTTTGCCTAACATTTCCCTACAACTCTGTCAAATATTTTTGCTCCAAGGTGTTAGTAGTTGAAAGTCAATACAACTTCTTCGAGGTCATGTTTTTTCCAAATTTCGAAGACTTTTCTACATAACTTGGCAACCCCGCACAGAAATGATAAACTGTTTATATTGCCATATACAAAATTTTCTCGGAAATCCATGTTTAAAAATATACAGGGTGTTCCATTTAAAAAATTTAATATTTAGGGTGTCTCATTTTTACTCATCGACCTGTATGTTTCAAATTAATTTTGTAGTTTAGGTTTCTTGATTCTGTATAACTTTTATATAATTTTTTTTTTTCTGTATTATGAGCAACAAGGGAGTTATTTTACTTTCTCACACTAATGGCCCACCCTGTAAGTATGTTAATATAAACTTTTCTTTTTTTCTTAAAATAAACTAAAACATCTTCCCCTATCAACCGTAGAGATCCATATCCTTAAACCCCAAATTTACGAAAAATCTTGTTAAAATAAACATCCAACATGTAAAGGTTGTCCCAAAAATAACGCAGGATTTGAATTGTGGCCATTTTCATTCCAATGAATTGAACTGACTATATTTTTTTTTCTCAAACATAACAAAAGGCCCTTGAAGAGAATTGATTCAGGTTTTTAAAACCCACCTTCCGATAGCGATGATCAAAAAAAGTGACTTTTCACTCAATAGCCGATATCTCAATGAGAAATAATCGTACAGAAAATAAAAAACAACCAAATTCTGAGTGATTAAATCAGAAATTTGAAAAAAAAAATTGTAAAGTTTTTTCCTTGAATTATTTCTTTTGATTTTGAAAAATTTTTTCATCTCAAGATTTCAAGACTAAAAGTAAGGGTCATGGTCTAACATCTACTAAATGAAAGGGATGATTTTTATGTAAATTCGCAAGTTTCAAGACGCTTCTCAATACGACCATTATTTACGCAGTTGCAACCTCTCAAAAATCACTAAAAAGATATCAGG